AGCGCGTTCAGCTCTGGGGCTGAGCGCAACGCCCACGCCATATATTCCACGAGTTATCGCTTCTGGGTCACCGGACACACGGAGGGAGAAATGTGAAAGAACTGAGTTCGTCCTTGGCGTTCTGAGATGCATAACCACGCTCGGGTCTTGTATGCGTGTTTCGGAGACACAGTATACATCGATTTTAAGGGAGTACAAGGTTTCAGCAAGCATTGCCTGTTTTCCGATTTGACATATAGTACGGACGTTAAAAGCTCCTATATAGGAAGGATGTCGTGGATTTAGAAAGGTGTAATTTTGTTTAATATTTGTAGGCAGCGACGGGTATAAGACCTTTGGGTCAGCTGACGACTGTCAAACGGCCCAGAGACGTTTAAGTGTGCGGCGGGAAGGGGTTGGGGAGGGACATCGGTGGCAGCTGAACTGCGCAGGTAAATGATAATTTCCGGTTCCCCAGGCCGAGGAAGGGGGTTTGGTTGAGGTACCCCACCTTGAGCCTTCACTCAAACGTCTGACCCACAAGATAGCGGGAGGGTGTAGGGTTTTGCTCGGGCGCACAGCCGTTGGTCTCTGACTCAAAAGTCTGGTTCGTGATGCCACGGTTATAGTGGCTTTCTTGAAGGACCATTCCTGAAGCCAATGAAGAGATAGTCTGACTCAGTTGGTTCAGTGGGCCGGCACGGCCCGAGGGGACAGAAAGTGCGGCATTACTGTCTCATTCCTAATGCAGTTGTGTGTTGCAGGTGCCCTTTGAGTGGTACCAGACTCTTAGTTTTGAAAGCATTTCAACCGTACTGAATAATGCGCCGGTGGTCATGGTCAACCGTTGGGCGATCGGAGTGTGAGGTTTTTGGTGCCTGCCTTTTCTAACCAATCCTTCCTCGGGGGAAGGCAGCATCGCTGCTTTCATAAATATGAACACGCTGGTCGCCTTGGGAAAGCACCTTACTGCCTTCACACTCCTGTCGCATAGGACAGTACGACTTTACCCCCAGACCGCCTCGTCTTACGGGATCTCATTGCTGGTTGTCCGACTACCCTCTTTTTGCTTTTCTGGAATGGTCGCACTTTGTAGAACGAAGTTCTGGATCACTGCAGCACCCAAACCCTGCCATTACGTCAATTTATCAACCTTACGTCTTGAGGGGTCGCGCTTCTTTCGTCAACACATTAGTGTGCTCTACCGACAGCACTTCTGTACACATTGCTTAGTTTGCTCATGGATCTCTATTCCTGAAACCTGAAGTGCATGGTTGCTGCATGGGTGCACACATGAAACGTAACTTGACGTTAGTAAAAACATGTTAGAGCAAGCATAGCTTATATAGTCACACCAATATCGGGTGGGCGAAGGTGGTTCGAGAGATGGATGGCCGAACGAACAGTGTGGTAAGGTTTGATGAGGTTGAATTGTTTGAATATTCAACCAGCACATAAAAAATGTCTGGTAAATCAAGTAGTGCAGTAGTATTATGCACAACGGAGACCGTTTTCAATTTCCACATAGATGTATTAATCGCTAAAATAATGGCACACAGGCCGTCTCCCATTGATACGCACATAAGAGTGAGTTGCTAGTTGCTACAGTGCGTTGGGGAATGTTTGACTACCTAAGTGCAGGCCATCTGCCCCATGTCACGTTCAAAACACAGACCTTGAGACACCAGAATACACTTCGGTTGATCGTACCGACCTGCATTTCTCCGTACTTCCTTATTGTGTAGTCCTAACTGCAATTTACAACTTATGATTGTTAACTTCATTAAGGTTACATCGCGAAGGTAGTATAGGGTAAAATATGACCGCTTGTATCACTAGGGGTCGAAATTGTGTACCACCGATGTATGAGCCGATGATGAATAATTGCAGCAACTACATACCTACCATAAGCTACGAGCCCGTAGTTTCATATGTTTTATTGAACGAGTGCTCACGGGAAGCATCCGATGGCCATAAGACCTTGGAAAGGTAACGATCATGACGATAAATGCCTGACCAGTTGCCTAAAGCTTTATCGACCTAGTTCATCAGTGGAGCTAGCCAACGTATCAAGATACACGAGCTCATCTCGCCCCACTGTACGGCGTATCAATGAATACGGTTTCCTCACGCCCGACAATTCCGCTTTGTACTGTATCTATTGCGTGTCCTGCTGCATGACATCAAATATAGTTAGTCCATATGACGAGAAACTGATTGACCGAAGCTTATGGTGAACACACTTTAGGATATTCCAAGGTCTGCAGTTTCAAATCAGGAGCTATTCGACGTAGCATGCTCGCGAGAGGCTTTCAGAGTAGTAGGCAACTCAATCAAATGACGAGATACATGTGCGAATCCCAGTGGAAACGCGTAACCCCCATCTTATATACATAATCGGAACTATAGGTTTGTGCGGAGTTCATAGATGATTGACTACTTTGAAATTTGAAATGTCCCGCGTTTCCACTGTCTCTAATTGTAATCCCCGCTCCGCTTTTGTGTTTGGTGCCTGCGTTTGTTTGTCCCTACCATTTCACTGATTTGACCCTGAGATCATCCAACCATTGGTGGCCGACCTTATGCACGTATGACTGTCTCTCGCGGAAGCCTGTTTGCTCATTTGCTTCGTACCTTCAAATTCCGAGTGGACCATTTGTTGTGGACGAGTGTCCACTGTCAAGGTTTGTACATTTTGAGAATTGATATACCGTATAGAAACCCGGCTCCGACTTTGTTTTGTCCTCCCGGGCGTTCTGGTATTACGCGCCAGTCGAAGATACCGTTTGACTGTTACACTACCTGTTTCATCACTGATCAATGAGGAGCTCAGGAGGTAGACAGGCCTCCTTGCTCTGATCGATATGTCTTGCGTTCTCATGTTTCATTCAAATTCACGGTGTTCCGGCCATTCTCTCACACTCCTGTTGATGCATGAATGCGTTTTCAGCTATTGGCTCCAAGAGTTCCGCTACCCATGAAAAGGATGGATAAAAGGACAGAGAAATAATTCTAAATTAAGCGTTTTTTCGAATCTCTGTAGTGCACGCTCCTCAGCCGTTGTTTACCAGCACAAAAATAACTTTTCCATGGGCTTCAATAAAAACCAGGCCCACCAGGGAAGAATTTCTCCCCACAGACTTGTTTAACACTGACGACCTTCATTCAAGCCCGTCACAGATTGGCTGCCACTTTCCTAATTTTCTTATTTGTGTCCTGGACTATATCAAATCACGTGCGATTTCTGACTATTTTCACATGAGTATGCTACCCATTTTATCAAAGAAAACAAAACATTTTACTGAAAGTAAACTACTCACAAGGTTGCTGAAAACTCTTCGACAGCCCACGACGGGTTCCGCCCTTCTCGGGGCTCATCAGGTAGGCGCAGTCCCCGAGTTTCCGTCAACCTTATGTTCTACTTTCTTTGTTCACATCATGACTTTCATCTCCATCCGCTCTCACTCAATTGTCACAGTGGGGTCAAAGTTGGGAAGGATTACTGCACCAAATTATATTTCGTTATGGTCACTACATTCTACTGAAGAGACTTACGAGTTACATGGTGAGTCTGCACAAACCACACTATTTGGACTTAGTTGTACGGAGATTAAAACTGAGAAGGCAAACTGAGATGAGGTGTCTTTCTGTGGAGCTCAATCCGAAACAAGTTTAGAGGGTGGTGAACGAATCCTGTTTGGGGCTAAATCAAACGCCCACTAAATTTACTTACCGTTTCATGCATGACGCCTTTCGCGCATTCTTTAAAGACTTTTGGATCATCACAGCGACAGTGGTGTCTGGCTCGTCTGATTCGCTCCACCACACATGCTCTTTTCTCCTCACTCCACTGCTGTTCAACCATCAGTTCATCCCAGTGGGTTCGGTGTCCGTCACATTTACCGTCGATCAGCATTTTGGTGGGACAGCCTGAAGTAAGAAGGGCATATGTTATGAACTTGAAACAGATTATTGGTTAAGGCGGCAAATTACTGTTCGGGTGGTCCGTGGTTCGAACCCATCCCCGGTATCTCGACTGTTTCTGTCTAGGCTTGGACAACCTGGCAGTATCTCAGTTCTTGTGTTTCCTTCGGTTGACATGGCAGCTGGGCACCAAAAGGGTGCCACAGCTGAATGATTATTATTTCAGTTGGTGTATTTTATGAGCGTTAAAGTCAGCTTACTGTGCCCATTAATGAATAGAAGAAAGCTTTCGAAACAAGCGGGCAGTGTGGGCCTTGTGTCAGGCTGATGTTTCAAGTATACTCACGCCCGTTCGGCTTCTCAGTTTCCAATTTCCCCTATGATAGGTATAACCAAGTATTCCGGGCGAGATGGCTCAGTGGTGAGAGCACAAATTTACTGACCGGAAGGTCCGTGGTTTGAACCCGACCCCCTATCTCTCGACTTCCCTTGTCTAGACTTGGATAACCCAGCCCTCCTGCTTCCTTCGGGTGGCCTGGCAGTTAGACACAGAAAGGGTGCTACAGCTGAGCGGTTTTTTTTAAATCAAGTATTCAATCTTTCGTCTAATCCTTGAAAATGTTCTATAAAATGATAATAACAGGTTTGTTACATATTCCGATCAACTTCTTTTGCACGATGTTGTCTTATCTAGTACAAACTCAATGGTTACACTTACGACAGTCTCGGACTGCTGTTCGTATTCGTTTCCGACATTGGCACTCGTTGACGTCCCGGTATGGCTCAACAATCTTCTCCAGCATCTTACCTTCGCTACAAGGAGCACGAAAGAGACGGGCCAGTGGGAGACATTCTGTAAAGGAGAAGCGGAAAAGCGCGTAGGATTGCATTTTCCCGATCGGGTGTTTGTTGGGTAGCAGTATACCGATACTTCCTCTCGTTCATACAATCACGAAGACAGAGGCTACACGATCAACTTCAGCAGAGAATATGTGGACGCCGAATTATTCTCGTTCAATCAATGCACCGACTTCAAGAATATGCACTGTTCCTCAATAGTCGAACGCAAGGCAGCTAAAGAAAATAGATTAGTTGCGGAAATTCCGAATATGGCCCAAATAGGAAAGGGCTGACTCCGATGATTAGAGAACTAAACGTGTATTCGTATCATTGATCAGGACAAACCCATTTCTTGACAAAAAATGAACAGACTAACGCCAAACACCTAGTTTTCTTGATGAAACTGAATGACGATATCGGGAGAAGACAACTTTGGTGGAATGGAGCAGTTTCACACGATCACACGAGCTAACTAAAATAGACGAGAATCGAGCACGCTGTTGAAACTTCAAAACCAAAAAATCTGGCAAGAAGTCACTAGACACTGCCAGACATTCTACAACTTCGGTCAGGAGGGATCACCGTAAGCGCAACATTACAGCCCTCTGGACACGGAGACTTGATTTTTGTCTGTTAGTGATCATGGCTTCAAGGAATGTCAACAGCCGGAGCCAACAGTTATTCCAAAGATAGGGTTCGTATCAGTCATGTCAACAAAGTGACTTACGTGTCTGCTGTCAACCTTTGTGCACGAGCAATATCGAGCGACCCCTACCCTCGAATTTTTGAATTTTGACTTCCCAGTCGCGTAAGACATATCCGTCCGTACTTTGTGTCATAAGCTTTCAGTTTGTGTGAAATGATACCATCCGGTAGAAATTCTCCTTTATGGTATCCCTATGCAGAACAGAATGATGCTTCCCGTAATTTCGACGTACACATGGTAGTTCGATGGAGACCACTGATTCATCTTTTGGTAGTTGCAAGGCGTCACCAGTATTATGCTGCATCAAAGTGTGGAAAACTCAATCATTTGACAGATAGTTTGATTGATACCCTCATTTGAATACCTAGTTGCTTTTCATGGTGAAACATGTTGTGGGCTGTTGGAGAGATTTCAGCAACCTTGTAAGTAGTTTCTTCTGAGTAGTGGCGTGTTTTTCAACCACGGGAAGATTTAGACAACACTCTCGGATAGTCAACTGATCGTCTGACTTAGTTTTCCGTCACTCAAGCATAAACACGAAGTCAGCTGTGTTGTTCTTTAGACTCCCGCTCTGTCGACGATACTCAGGTGCAAGCGTCGAGACGCAGACAACTGAGGCGTGTCAGGGTAGCCAATCCACCGTCCAGGTACTAGACCTCTCACACTAAGTTGTGTGCTCATGCAGGTGGCGTCAGGCCCAAAGCAGCTGCCGTACCTTGTTCCATGAGCGCATTATCGACGAATCACAGTAATCTGCCAGACAGACAGATGATCGAACCACCGTGTCGTTCTCTCAACACACTCCTTTGCAGGACTGGGCTAGTCACACAAGGGGCGGGCCGTGGTGGACAGACTGGAGTCAGCTTTGGCGAATCAGCCAATCATCCTTAAGGTAGCTCAGTGGCCTTCACATCCGGTCTCCCCGACCCCGGTTGGGAATCGGATGGGAGAGTGATGAAACTACTTCAAGCAAAACAATTCGGATGAGAATTGGGGTGCATGTGAAGAACTAGATTCGTACGGTCACGAAAGCACAAAAGCCAAACTTCGGAAAGCAGGAAATTGGAGAGTTCTAACTAAAACAATGAAAAAGGCTTGCGAGTTTTACTGTACAGATGGAATAGAGACCATGCCGTTGGGTCACTTGACGAAGCAAGTCGAACCGGATGACAGATGACTCTACAATATCAGGCCGGTCGACCCATGGCGGTGTCAGGTGGATGGTGGCAGATTCGGTATGGAATCTCTGTGCGTTCACATCTACATTTTACTTTATGAACACTTGCCTGATACTCTAGACTACTCACCATACGGCAAGTCAGGGATGCGCAGTATCGCAATCCGCACGTGGCTAGTTATGCAGTGGATGATTAAACAACGTATATAGTGGATCAATATAAACTGCTAGAGTGCACACAACATGCCAGCTGAACACTCACTGATTGTTGTGCTCTTTATAATTCTCGCCGGTACGCACTGATGGAGTTTATCGCTCCAATGCTGAGTCAAGAACACCGTGTGCAAGATGCCTCGTAGACTGTCACACTGGCTCTGTTTCTTGACCCGATTCGACTCACAGACACACGGTTTTTCCATAACACGCATTTCGCGAATGCAGTGACAGTGATCACGACGATGGTAGATGAGGTGGAGTTTCCGGCGTCCAGTCCTTGGATTGCATGGGCCCCAGCGAATACGAGCCGACTGGCAGTCTGAGCGGGTCAAAGAAAAAGCGCTCGAGGTTCACTTCAATAGCACTTGCCATCATGAACGAATCACTGCTTATGAGCCGCGATTCTAGTTCTCTAAGGGAATACCGTACAACGGGTGGGCAGACCCAGCCATTGATTCACATACATACGATCGCGAAAAAAATATCACTGTCTATTTGTAATGCACTACTCATAAGGTTGCTGAAAATGTGTCTACAGCCCACTACCGGTTCGCCCATCAGTCCCCGAGTTTCCATCAAGTAGAACACAGAACAAGTAGAACACGGACTGCGCCTACCTGATGAGCCCCAAGAAGGGCGAAACTGGTCGTGGGCTGTCGACGGATTTTCAGCAACCTTATGAGTAGTGCACTACAAATATATACATGTATCGTGATATCTCGAATATTGTAGCGACTGAAACATGAGGTGGCCTGGTGCAGCACATTCACTTGCCTGGAAACATCACAAACGAGAGATTCAACTGGGTTCCAGGTGAGTCTCTCGAAAAAAACAAATTAGTTTGCAAATGAGTGTACATTCGCTAATCACTGTGTCTAAGAATTTCAACAATAAAATTTACGAGTAACTGCAAGAATATTAGGATAGTCAAGAGTTCAGCTAAGTACATCTACATGTCCTGTTTTGTTCATGATTTTGGTCAGTTATTCCAGGATAACTGTTGCCTGTGATAAGAAGTCTAGACGTTGTAGTGTGACCTTGAACCGTTTCCCTGAGGATCAATAGCCCTAATGACCGGCGAAGTTGGTTTGACAGCTCACAGAGGCCTACTAAACTAGACTTCTGTTTTTCACGTTTGCACGCGTTCATTCAGGTAGGGCTCTCAGTTTTGATATGGCAACTTACGGTTTGAGTTACAATGAACTTCGTGGATACACTCTCCAGCTTAGGTTCACAATAACGCCAAAAGTAATAATCTTTTCTGTAGCCGATTGTTGCTTTCGAAAACCAGGAAGATGCAGCGGAAGACGGTCAAATACTTCACTTGTGACAACAATCCATTGGGACGTTTTAGAACACTTATACTGCGTGTCCCTGTACAACTGTCGCTTCTGTGATTTGCTCGTTTTTGGTCAATGTCTTCGAATTTCTGATCGGAGATGAATTCCTGGCTTTCCGGCAGCGAGAACTTTAACGTTGGGCTTTTCTCGAATTCCTCGGGCAAACACGTGACTGTGACGGTTACACAACACTCTGCATAGCTCGAAAGCAGTGACAGAAATTCTGTTTCGGTTAAAATTTTTTTTCCAAAAGTAAAATCCATCCTACGAATGGCGCAGGCGTCCGGTCCGTCTCACCATCAGCCCTTCAGAACAATCGAACCCACGACATTCCGGTTGGTGATTGAATACTGTATTGGTCGGCTACCAGTGCCGAATGGTATAGTGCTAAACTACTGACCGGAAGGTCGAGGGTCCTAGAGTTTCGCGGGATGCACATCACCAAAGATTCCCAAAATGGCTGGAATAGCTGCACAAGGCCATTTTGGAGCGATCTTTTTCAACTATCTCTTCACAAGCCGCCCTTGACATCTTTTATATATACTAAGTGATCGTTTCTGAGTACGTACGTTCTAAAGGACCTGATTTTACTTAGCTCGTCAAGAACCACACATGCACAGTAAAGTGAACACCTTAAAGAAGTGGAGATTTGTCTGTTCTTAGGGGTTGTTCTGTTCTTAAAAGTTGTGGTCTATATAAAAAAATCGTTACAAGTACTGAACGCAGTTCCAAATGGAAAAACGCCACTCAAAGTGAACCCCAGATGGATCTCCCCACCAGTATATCAAAACCCTTGCCTCTCGAAAACTCACATGTTGGTTGAGCGTCCTCGCGAATATGGCGGCGGCATTTTAGTGTTTTCTTGTCTAGGTGGAACGTAACTGTTTTTCTTATCCACAGGTTTCTCGTACCGTCACAGTGCATGACCTTTTGTGGTGGAGGGCATTCTGCGGGTATAAAAGTGATAATAATGGCTTACGTATGTTGCGACAAACGAATCAATGTGGCCAGTGAATACTAACTCAGTTAAATAATGCATTTCGAATCGACCAAAATGCCTTTGTAGGCCTGTTTCAAATGACTAACTGACCTTTGACATATAGCCAATAAAACACAAAACGTTGCTGACCCTTTTGAGGAAACGCCGTTTGACTGGACCAGTGTTCAAATATGGTGTTAACCGGGCGTTGGTCGGGCAGTGGTGCGCTCACCTCACACACCCGATGTCCCTAGTTCAAATCCCTATACGGTTGATGAGTTCCAATAGGAACTAATGCCAAATTTGATACTATCTTTTTGGCGTAGGTTAACCAAAAATAACCAGCTGACCAATAAATCGATTTTTCAGTGTTTAAAGGAACAGAAAGAAGACTTACGACAGACGCCCTCTCGGATCACCTGTGGTCGCTTGACGCATCTGCAGTTCACCGGTTGCCACAATTCTGCCACGAGACGCCCCCGTCCAGATTTGGCATCACAATGCAGTTCAACCCGGGGTGTACCATGGTTTCTCTTGGCTTCTTCGAGTTCAAATGGTCGACAGTCCACCGGTTTATGCACCGCCACTTTGCGCGGAACACACTTGTTTTCAACCACATCAAATACTGTTTTAATCGTGTGAATTTGATTGTTCTTTGCGTCACAGACAGGCTCAGAAAACATTGGTTTTGAACAACCTGTGAAACAACAAATTGGTGAAATGCAAGGCAAACCTATTCTGGGTAAGAGGTGGAGTCAGTTTGAAATTGCACATGCCAGAGGCAATGACATACTTCACGGACTTACCGCACGGTCTGTGTTTCGTTATCTCTTCTTCACGGCACTCACAATTATGTTGAAAATGACGCCGATATTTGCTAGTTTCGATATTGGTCTCGGGTGAGCAGTGGGTGGAGATGAGCTCAGAATGTTCGGGACATACTGTAAAGAAGAAGGAAAATAAACTGAGCCAGAGAACACAACCACAATTTGGTGGACACGTTGAATAATAGTATCGTAATTTCCAAACTACTGTGTTTTTATTTAATCGCTGCGAAAGCTGGGAAACGTCTTTATGGCAATTGCAGATGAAGCAGGTATGACCGTTCAGTAGTGTCGCAAGGTTTATCCCTATTTCGTGATGCCTAATCTTGAGCCAGGGTGAATAAACTGAGTCTAATGTCAAACTCGGTGCTTCGAAAGGCTACTTGTCCAAATGGAAGCCGTGAGGTGTCTGGTGTGAAAGGAAAAACTCCTAGTTTCCCTGAATACATACTGTATGTTGCACCTTACATCAGACTGCCTTCCTTTGACAAGGTCATCTGAATACCGCTGTTTCTAACCTGTAGGCGGTTTAATTTCTTCCAGTTAGTTGTTCTTTTATCAGACTGGTTAGCTTATATCAAGAGGAAGAGTACTGGGCTCCAGTTCCACTCTTATTAGAGCTCCAACACTTGGTCTACCCCCACCGCCCAACCCCAGCGAGTTCGTTTGAGATTAACTAGCTTGATTTAAACAGCAACCAATCAGGAGATAAAGAATCAACTTGGCCTCTAATCAATAAATCAAGCAACATCCATTCCAAAACACAGGAAAAGTGACCGTCACTGTCAATCCGAAACTTACACACACTGGTGCGGCGTTTGAATACCCTCTTGTCGCATCTGCATCCAATGGGGATGAAATTTTCAACTGTGTGCACAAGTTCTCTTGATCCGGGATCGCAAGTTGTGGTTTGGATTGGCTTTGGACATTCTAGAACGAAAAGGCAGCCGAAAATAACAAGTTAAATAACAATCATTGAGTGTATTCACGTGGATTGGTGCCAGTATGTTCATGGACTTTTCTCCGTCAAACAAGTATAGACCAGTTTTAACGAAATATACTACTCATGGGGTGGTCGAAAACCCTCTGACTGTGTCACTCTTTTCGGTGTGCACAGCCCCCCCCCCCCAACACTTTCCGTCAGTAACTGTCATCCTAGTAGACAGGATCAACATTATTACTCTGAGGTTTGTTAGTCTGTGAGCAGCGATGCTGGAATTGACTGGAATCCGTCAACCCGCGATGAGTTAATTGGGAGACGGATTTTGGGTGAAGCAGACGGTACTTCACTCCAAGACTGCACCCAGCACTGCAGATTAATGTGGCTTGGCCGTGTGTTACGTGTGCCGAGTAACCTCCTGCGGCAAAGGGTGCTATTTTCGGAGCCTAATTCGGGAACCTGGAGGTGACATGACAGCAAGGACGTTTGGGCACCGTTGGTGAAGTTGACCTTGTGAGTTTGGGTGACACTCCCTATCCTCGGCTGTGGACACCGAGTGGTATGGCCGTTAACCGTTTTCGGTTTTTGATTGCAAATGAGTGCATTTCTCGAAGACAGTCTAATTTGGGTTCAAGTAGAGCATGAGGTTGATAGAAACTCGGGGACTGCGCCTACCAGATGAGCCCCAAGAAGGGTAAAACCGGTCGTGGGCTGTCGAAGAGTCTTCAGCAGCATTGTGGGTAGTTTCCTTCATGAAGACACCTGTGTTCTTCCTCACCTGTTCGCATGTGAATTCAATGGTCTAGTTTCAAAATTACGATCGGTTAATTTTTGACAGCTAGGCCATCAGTCCACTGATAAGTCCAAGATGGAGTGAACTACTTTTTGTCCAGTCTTTTGGTGGTCTCTTCTCATACAAATTTTCGTAGTTCATGTGTGTTTCTGCGTGCTTACAACTAACTAAAAAGTTTTTTGTGTACACATTTAAAAATCTCTATCCCAAAGGAAGATCGTTACTTAACTTCTACGTGACTGACTTACGCTGACTACATGCCCTTTGAACCGTTTGAGTGGCACAATGACATTGTTTTACATGGCTAAAAAACAATTTCATTTGTCTTGTTCCATCAGCTTCAACCGGGCCCCAAACGCGTTGCTGAAATCCAGAAGTGCAGTGCACCGGTCGCCGAATTACACGCAGTATCGGAACACACTTGTCGTGTCGCAGGCGGTTCTCGGTGACCTTGAAAATTTCATACTGTCCGGTTGGATCACAAGAGCGCGTGATTCTTCTGTTTCGAGGACAGCCTTTGAGGAAGGGAATCAAGGTCACGTGTATAGAAAGGTGCTAGGCAAAACATTTTACTTAGAGTAAACAGCCAAGACGTCATTCGGGAACTGAAAATACCCTTTCCTAAACAGCCAGTAGGAATATCGTCCACTAAACAGCTTGGCATACGCAAGCTTAAGTAACACTAAACCCAAAGTTCGGTACATCGTCCATCGTCAACTACCATACTGCTTAAGTTCTGGGCAATATAAGACGTCAACTCTTCATAAGAGGTCCACATATACGGAAAAGCACACTAAACAGAGCAGTGGTTTTTCTCACAAGTTCTCGGATTTTCACATGCCCTCTCTACATGGAATCCCCAATCTAGAAAAACACCAAGATGCCACACTTTTATTGAGTTGATTTTTTTCACAATATAGATAGCAACGACCTCGAATTTTTTTTCGCGTTAGCTGGATGGTAATTACGATTACTGTGTTACACTAACAAAATAGCTTTCTGTGAGAGAACGAGCCCATACTTCTGTCAGCTGATTTATTGGCCTCCGATTAGTACACTTTCCGAAACAGGCTAATCAAAGGTTCAATTAGTCTTCATTCAGGCCTGGTTGTCTGATATTCGCTTTCACCGGAGTAGCTGGCCAAACACCACAACTTTGAACGGACCAGATGCCTTCATCTATCAAGCGAGTATGCTCCATCCCATCTGACTAACAGGGAATGGGAAATTAGGGGAACAGTTTGATATGAACATACGTTTGTTCGAGTCCGTCCCTTGTGTCTTCTGTCTCGATGGTCTACCAACCAACTGGGGAAAAGTTCACCTCAACCTCAAGCTTTGTCGATCAGCTGACCTACCTTCTCAGCCACGTGTGAATATGAGTGCTTGAAACGTGCTAAGCAATTTTTTGTCATTTTGAATGGTTCTTGTGGGATTTGTGCAATTCACATTCACATCACTCTCTTCTGAGCAGTAGACTTTCTGTTCTGGAGCAATTACTCGCCTTTTCGGTTCTGAGGAATCAGATGCTTCCAGCGTGCGCTGGTGGAATAGTGGTGACACGCTCGACTAGCATGTCACGTGTCCGGAATCAAACTCCAGGCACTGGTTACGAACTCTAATAAAAGCCAAACTCGAGTCCAGTGGACTCAACAGAATAATTTCGCCAGGGCAGGAGGACCGCCAGAACGTGAGTGGTGTGAACGTTCATAGTTCGGGCGGTTGAGAGGCGTGCGCTGATAGTGGTGACACGCTCGACTAGCATGTCACGTGTCCGGAATCAAACTCCAGGCACTGGTTACGAACTCTAATAAAAGCCAAACTCGAGTCCAGTGGACTCAACAGAATAATTTCGCCAGGGCAGGAGGACCGCCAGAACGTGAGTGGTGTGAACGTTCATAGTTCGGGCGGTTGAGAGCTTTGACCTTAGTTCAATGGATGAGTTCTACTCATCCAAAGCAAGCGAAGATCTAAGGGGCGGTGTGTGGCCAATATCAGTGTGAAGTAAGAAGCGATACAAGCAGCCTCAATAAGGCGACCAAACAGAGAATGTAGGTTCCGCAACGCTTTACACTGTAACTACTGAGAAGATCTACTACCCACTTCATTACTTTTCGAGTTTTCCTGAACAATCTGTGATGGTAGGCCTCAAATGAAGAATTAAGATGGCGATTAAAAATGAACGTTCTGCGGATAGCTGAGATTCCAGAAACAAATCAGCTGAGGAATACTTGAATATTGATTCCTCAGCTTTTGGAGTACTCACGTGTGAGGGCAGAGAAAGGAAATCTACCTCACATCTGACATGATTTTGAGTTTGAGCACAAAGGTGTCACAGAACTTAGCTGGGTAGCCAAAAAGTTCTATAAAATTATTTTTAGGAGCTAAACTGAAGTAAAAACGTTAATTAATGTAGTTAAGTGCTTTATACTACTGAAGACTGACAGTAATATAATCTAGCCATGGAAAGCACCAGTAGAAAGTGGAATATGTCCACAAAAATTGTTGGATATCATAAGGGACAAAGCTTCTAGACAGTCGCTCGTAACATGTTACCGCTAAGTAATTCGGACTAATGGATGTTCACGGAGTTATTGCATGAAGACGATGTTCTAATGTGGAGACAGATGCGGTTGGGAGTTTGTTCAGAGCATACAAGAACGAAAATCCCCTAGCAGCTAGATGAACTTACAGCATGGTTTCAAAATTTTGCGTATGATCTCTGTCCTGCATCTTGGTGCGTTCCCATCACTGCGTTCGTCATAGACAAATCTCTGCCAGGTGAAAACATCGTTACATTCCTTGCCACAGTGATCACCATTCTGTTGATGACAAATTTCTGGGCATTTGTGGATCAGCTTCACCGGAGGTTCCTGAGCTTCTGGGCATCCGCAAGCTTCCTCAACTACTTTGGCGTCTGGTTCTTTACAAACGCAGTTATCTACTTTGGGTGTCGTGATCAGTAAGTTTCGAGTTGGCCTGCTCTCTCCGGGTTTTCTTACGCACTCTGTTATCCGACGTATTCCTTCCTCCTTGCAAGCTGTGAATGAATGGTCACCAGTCATGCACATGAGGACAGATTAGGAGAATGACCAGCTAAGTATGATTCTGATGATAATGAAGTTAGTGCTGCTGCAAGTTAGTGCTAGACAGCTTGTTTCTCAGAACCAAGCAATCCACGATGGTCCGAATGAAACATTTTAAGCTGCAAAGTGAATGAGTACATCCAATAGTGAGTAATAAGGGTTCGTTCATACTGATGTGGCAGGTTCTAGGGAGTAATTTGGATCAATTCCTTCTTGATGATTCCTTCTTGATGATGATGACGATGATGATGATGTGATGATGATGATGAAGAAAGAGAGGAGGAGGAGGATGATGACGAAGGTGTCTCTTTTTAAGCGCGCTATCTAAGACAGGAGAGGGCCGAAGCACTTGGTTATCTTCCAGAAGGGACACGCGTTTAGAAAGGATTACTCTGATAACAGCCCAAGTAGATGTTTGCATGATTTTTTTTGAAACAGACATCAAGCAATCTAGGTGAAACCAAGACAATATTGAACGCAAGTACCATGGGATTGTAATGATTGGTAATCGTTTGTACCTGAGGTTTTATCCCGTGCAAGTCCTAATGAAAAAGTAGTGTGAACACAAACAGCCTCTCGTCACTTCATCACATCACCTACTTTACGCGAAATGCAACAGATGAAACGCCTCGGCTAATTGACGACCCTGGAATTTCCACGTGTCTGTTATCCAGTCAAGATGAAATCCAATTGATCTGTCTTAGTGAATTTCAGGGGATCAGAAGTAGGGTTCTAAATGATATGGGTGCATTTTACAAGCAACCAAAAAATCACAGCCCATTTTGGAGGCTGTCACAGAAATGCTACTTATGTTGTGTGTGTCTGGAACAACTTTGTTCCAGTAAGCCAACTCACCTGTCGGGAGTACGGACACCGACTCTATGCGTCCACAATTCCTGTCGGGCAGACGCTTGTACAGTACCGTTTTTATCATCCTCTCGTTTGTGTCCGTTCGGCATTTGTAAGAATGTTTTGGTGGAGGGCACGCTAAACCAATGGAAGGAATTAAATGAATGCAGACTCTCAAAGAGAGCAGACCGAAGTGGAACGGTGTAGTATAGAGTGAGAGATGGTTCAGTGGTTAGAGTGTGAATTTACTGGCCGTAAATTCTGTGGTTCGAACCCGACCTATGCATCTCTACTTCTTATGTCTATCCCATCCCTCGTGGTTTCTTCGGGTGGTATGGCAGCTAGGCACAGCTGTACGATCATCCTCTATCTCATCTGCATACCGATTCGGTTTCGACGCAGACTCACCGGGAACCAAGCTGAACCTCTCGTTTATGATGTTCTTCTCAAATGAATGTGCTGCACCAGGCAGCCTCATGTTTCAGCTGGCATGATATTCGATACATCGCAATACCTTGTACACACGTAATACGCTGCTTATAAGGTTGCTGAAGAAGGACATTGAAAGAAATCTAGCTTAGTTCAAGGTTGGTACATCGCCAAAAACGAATCCGTATGCAGATGAGAATATGGGCAAAATTTGGTGTAGTTTGGGTCCAAGTAGAACATGAGGTTGATGGAAACTCAGAGACTGCGCCTACCTGATGAGTCCCAAGAAGGGCGAAATCGGTCGTGGGTTGTCGAAGAGTTTCCAGCAACCTTGTGAGCAGTCTCCTTTATGAAAATATACTGCGATATATCGAATATCGTGCCAATCGATTCATGAGGCGGTCTGTGTGCAGCACATTCAGTTGAAGAATATTATGAACGAAAGATCCAGTTAAGTCTCCTGTGAAAACTAAATTGATTTGCAAATGAGTGTATTTCTCGAAAACGGTCCGATTCGGGTTCAAGTTGGACAAAAGGTTGACAGAACCTCGGGGGATTGCACCCAGCTGATGAGCCTCAAAATAAGTGGGGCTGCCGAATCAGCAGCTGCTCACGTGACGTTCTTCAGCCTATAACAGGTTTCACAGTGTTCAGTTATATGCCATCTGGGCCGGCCTTATTCGTCGTACAAAGGCAAGGCAAGCACGAAATGCCGCACGTGAAGGGGCAACCAAGTCTCAAGGTGAAGTGTGAAACATACCCACAGTGTTACACGCGAGCGCGCCCATACATTACTTTCACATGGATCGCAGCGCTAATAACGGCGTGCTGGCCAGTGCTTGGGCAACAGCATCGGCAACTTTTTAGTGGCATTTGTCTGGTCATTGAGAAAAATCACTCTGGATGGTCGAAACGTTGCATTCAATCTATTCGTTGTACAACCATTAGGATTTTCACTATAGACCAAACTGTTTCAACTCCTCCGAGTTTATCGTTCCTCAAAATGAAAAACAGGACATTCTGGGACAAAAACCACCTTATGTGGGATAAACAGGCAGATAGTAACGAAGTGTTTTATACAGTCATTTTATATTTACGGGACCAAGTTTCACCTGCAAGGCAAACAGTAAAGGCGATCCATGTTTGACCTAAAATAGCAACACATGAGGTAACAACATGCCACGTATACTGAAATCATTAACACTATGGTTAATGGTATACTATCAGGTTATCCGTTACCACTCTGACGGCGTAATAATTGACGAGTCTCGGTAACACTTGTATGGTGATATACTACTGTAAGAGGTGTGGTAGTATGCTGCAAGTTAAAAGAATAGACGGATGAGGCCGGAACCTTAATAGGAAACAGGTAATGTGGGCCGGTGCCCATACTTGGGCCCCATCATTCTGTGGCAGACCTCTGCACTTCCTCCCACTGATCTTATTCCCCCGGGTTTATATCGAGGCCAAGAATTTGTACGCATTTAGCTCACAGGCCAGTAATTCATACCGAAATCTGTCAAGCCTCCCCCAGGACTTTCGAAGATGTTAACGCAGAGCAAATAGCATTTCTTGATAAATGTGACTTTTTATAAAGAGTTGTGTAGTTGATATTGGACATATGGGAGCTCTTTCCAAAGTTGTGGTGGCCGCATTAGAACTGAATTCACAGTATTCTGGTGGTCGACCTCTGCTTCCAGTCGTCAAATGCTGCTATGCATATAGATTGCAATAATTCCTCCGAACAAAACTACCAGGGAAGAAAATGAGGTTGACTTCGACATGTAAAGATCATACGTTGGCTTGGCAATGACCAACAGGGTTTTTGTGTTAACCAGTTCACCTTTCAGGAAGTACTGTCTTCACTTCCGACGATCTTGAATCACTGTGGATAGTACAAAGCGATTTGAATTTTTCGACCAGGATTTCGACAAGCTGTGCAGAAATGCGTTGTACAGCTGTTTCACATCCTTGTTGAGAATCATCAGAAATTCGAATCTCACGGATGTCGCGGGTGATTCTAAAACATGGGACCTCCCAGCTAGTAGTCAGGGGCTAGGTTGTATCTTTGCTTCGAAACGATGGTAGCACCAAGTTGCTTCAATACACGTCCCATGACCTGTACCAAATCAAGTTCCAATCATCTGATCCGCACTCCAGTGACACGGTGCATGAGATTTTGGCTCAATTTACAACGCCACCAGCGGGCGAAGCTCAAGAACCGTCCTTTAGAATTTACAACAGTGAATGGAACGTTTTCTCAAATCTCCCCGAATTGTCTTTCTCTATTTCGTCTGGTATCCTGCAAACACATTCAATCAAAGAAAAACTTACTGCAAGGCATCAGCCGGTTTTGTACATGTCTGATGCACTGGCCTTCAACAAGCTCATGGGTGACCAGTTGTTCTTTCTGCATCCCTTTTTGACAAGGCGATAGAACCCGTCTTGGCTTCGGGCAGCCTAAAACAACAAAAGGAAACAGTCACTGTTGCAGTAATAAGATACACTATCAGTGTTCCTCTTAATGGTCGATGAGGTACACATTACACACACTCAGTGCTTACTGGTGAGGCGTACTCCGAGATGTAGATAAGCGAACCGATTTGACAGCAATTATGCAAAAATCAGTAGGCAGCCATCAGAAAACACATGTCCGGTTTTCGTATAGGAAACTACTCACAAGGTTGCTGAAAACTCTTCAACAGCCCACGACCGATTTCGCCCTTCTTGGGGCTCATCAGGTAGGCACAGTCCCTGAGTTTCCGTCAACCGTATGTTCTATTTGAACCCCATTTGGACTGATTTCGACTTGGCTGGATAAGTCTGGGAGGACCAAACATAAGGCGACCTGTGTGCAGCACATTCAGTTGTAGAATACCATGAACGAAAGATTCACTTGAGTCTCCAGGGAAAACCGAACTGATCTGCAAATGAGTGTATTTCTCTTGAAGCCTACGACAAGCCTAACTTTAATTCATTGCTTAATGCCAAGTATTAACTGTACTCTCAATTGAGATTTCATACTGTCAGCGAATCCAGTATGTGCTGAACATCCTTATTGTGAATCATCATCAGCGCATATCTTATGAAATTTAGAGAGTTTTGAACCCGCCACCTTCCGATCAGGGGTTGAACACTTAGGATGATCAGCAGTGTGATTAGCTCTTCATTCGACAGGACAAAGCTCCGCTCGCCCCTCAATCACATACTGACTGACTCCTCGAGTAACGACGTCTCAGATGGAAGATCCAATCGTCTTGAGAAGTCAGTCTTCTTCTGAGCTAGCCATAGATTGGAGGGACTGTGAGGAGATTCACTGATGCTTACTGACATGCGGCACGTGAAAGTCTCGTATTTACTTGCACTCGCCTAGTAAGTACCCACAAATCTTCAAATTAGTAACTGGAGAGGGCTTGATCTAAGCAGTATTGACACACACACTATACATATGCATGCGTTTCCATCCGTTTAACAATCAATATGATTCCGTCCCCATATGCGTAGTGATATTATGGACAACATCCAAAGTTGAAGATTTCCTTGGAAGAAATGACTTTTGGATAGGCGATAAATTAACCCCTACGGCAAAGAACTGCTCCTACCTGCTGAGTTGACTGGAGTCTCGTCTCACCCAGTGGCAAAGGATTGAGTACCTAGCACCAGGTACTCAAGATAGCACTAAAACGCCAAGCTTTTTAGCTCTATCCAACACCAGCAGTACAGGGACCCTGACTGTCCACAACATCCCGATGAGAAAGAGCGTAAAGAAGCCATTTAGCAAAGTCTATTTTGTTTTTCCAGTTATGGAAAAAAGCGTAAAGAAGCCATTTAGCCATTTAGTCTATTTTGTTTTTCCAGTTATGGAAAATCAATCTTTCTAGACTAAATTCAAGTTTCTGCCGATCAATATAACTCCAAGGAAAGTACAAGGAGATAGATCTGTTCTCTTTCGGAGGCAGAGAAGTTGTGGTAAGTTAAATCTGCTGCGTTTCCCTGCGACTGTTGAACCCACTTAAGACAAAGTTCGGACTACATACTACTCGTATTTATTCAGTACCTTTGCCGGACAGGCCATCGGATAAAGGTGAGCGCAACTTTTATCATCCGAGTGGACACGAAAAACGTATTTTGCGCTTTGTTAGGGCTGTCGGTGTTAATCAGCCGTACCTACCCATGTGTATTTAGCAGAGTCAGTTGATGCAATGAGGACAAGACTGCAACCTTCAAGTCTCATTTCTTCAAGTTCATGACCTTGGTTCTGAATAACCAGTAAGCATCGTTCAGATCTATCCGTACCTCCCACACTCAGACACCAGAGTAGTATAGCCGTCGTAAGGAACGCAACGGAGATTTTGAATGAGTTTCACTTACAACACTTCCCACTTGGTTCTGTCACAGTGATTGGTTTGCACTTGCACTCTTCCCAATGCCAGGTGGTTTTATGCCAAGTTCGTACACAGGTCTCCGGATTGCATTCAAATTTCCCCTGATGCCCATCTGGCTTGTCCAATGGAGGGCACGTAGGACGAGGGATCCATTCATGACCTATTCGTGGAACGCACTGTTTGCCTTGAACCATGTAGTTTATCGTTTTGAATGCCAGTTGATTGCGGTGAGCGAAACAGATGGGACCCTCACGTGTTTTTGGTGGACAGTCTAAAAAAGGAGAAAGAATGCCCATTTCGGTCGATCGCACTGATCTATGATGCTGTTCGTAAACTATAAAAAGAACTGGCTTGCTCTTGCCGGTCGCCAACCTAAGTAGGAACGATACCACAGTGAATTTGAGACTGTTTTGCTAAACAAACTGGTAATGGATTTCATTCATGAAACTCAAAAGTTGCCCTAAATTCCTTAGGGAGTTTCGGTGCCATAGCGGCAGACTTCGGTAAGCAGGTTGTGTCGTAACAATAACAAAAAAAAACAACTCACTACATATTTCTTCCCTCACTTGAACCAGCGGTTGACATTTGCACTGTCTGGCCACTTCGTGTATTGCCACGACTTTTCTAATGAGCGGTTGATTCGGACCTTTCCGATAGCAGTTGCCCGACCTGAGTTCTGGTTTTTTGCATACTGGATGGAAAAGTATTGGTTGTATTTAATTCCTAATTTTCACCTGGTAAAGGAAAAGCTCTGTTTGGTTTCATGTCTCTAGTAACAGATGCGTGAAGCTGTGGAGTAAATGGAAATGAATGACCAACTGTGAACTCTTCTAGGGAGTCTTTACTCAGAGAACTGCAATCATTCAAAAAAACCTCTAGGATATCGATCCTGTCGATTTTTTCTCCTACTGAGAGTGGTCTTTTCGCAAAAGTGCAGCTGTGCCAGATCTGTTAACGTTTCTATTGCCGTTACTGATAGAAAATGTGGAACACCTGGTTGCTACTTTATTCATACATAAAATATGCTACATAATGTGTGGTGCTCGTTCGTTTTCTGTCAACGCAGTATAATTCAACCTAGTGTAGTGCGATAAAACGTTGACATATGCTCTCACCGGGGATAGCGATAAACCAATTGGGCAGCTTGTGCACAATGGCTCTTGCTAATCACAGTGCATTTGCAGTGAACAAATGAAAGCACAAGTTAAAATGTAGACAACGGGATGACAGCACCCATGGCGGATAATCGTACAGTTTGGACGAGGGCTTTTTTCAACAACAAAAATGTCCACGCGACCGAGTCGTGTACTGTGTGCTTTCTCGCCAAAACTTGAGTTTTGGGTTTGCTGAACCGGCTTGATCTTGGGCCGCACGCTTAGAAGGTGGATTCGATTGGTTTTCTGCCCTGCGCTTCGTGACTGACATGCCGCCCACGCTTGCTACAGATACGTTGTGCGTCCTGTTCTCTGATTGGTCACCGTGTTCTCCTATAAGGTATAGTGACGCCGAGCCGCTTGACAGCCTCACTGCGCTCGTTTTGTCAGTCCCAACATTGGAAGAGACGTCAGGAGTGGACGTTAGCCTAACTTATCCTCTCTCATTGACTTTCTGGTTCATAACAGCAGCCGAGTGCCTTGTAATTGCACACTGAATGCACACTTGTCGACCTGTTCATCTAAATATATTTGATATACCTTAAATCTTTATGGGTGAACGCCAAGGTGGCTAACTAACAGCGTTTGACCAAGGCAAAAAAGCACCCAAAAGTTAAAAACTGTTTCAAATCAAAACTCACCGATAAGGCGATTGGGAAGCTGAACCTTTCGAAGTGAACATTGGAAACAACCTGTTTGTTTTCTTGTGAGAAGCTTCCTAATCAACAGTTCGTCTTTCACACAGGTGCTCTTGATAAGGTTCACCGGTTGGCATGCTTCCGGTAAAGAAAATAATGAGAGAATAAACAGAGAGTGCGGATTTGATCCGTGCTTCAAACACATCTGGGTGACACAACATCCTTCTTTTTTTCGGCCAATATCTATGAATGCTCACTGGAATTTAGTGATTTCTAGTATGCTAGTGTAACCCCGTGGAATGCCTCTGAGTTACCCCTATAGTCCGTGTAGTTACAAAGTATTTGACAGGAATGCTTCCCTCAAGACTCACAATAGCCACTTCAGTGTCCAATTCATCTCTAGAATGAGGCACCCACTACGAGTTCTTGTATCATTTTATCCCCTCGATAATTTAAACAACATGCTGAGGGCACCGAAAATGCACGCATTTCGTATCAGCCAGACTTATCAATAAAAAACGACACGTAGGCAGAACCGGTGGGTCTCACAATGTCAGAAGGAAAGATCAGATTCTTCTGTGGGTCCGGAACCGAATAGAGGACCCAAAACCCATGACTTACCCTAATTGGTAGTCACAGTTCCTCATGATTTTGCTAATTTGTGTCCCCATGTGTTCTCAAACTTACGCGAACCCGTACCATCGTCAGTTTAGTCCTCCGTTATGTGTCTAATGTCATGTTAGACAGTGAGGGTTGTTCCTCCACCCCACCCGAGTGGGTCACAACCACGTGAATACCCCTCCACATCCGTGGGTATCGAAAATTTTATTTTCTTCCTACTAATACTTTGGTATTGATCAACTTTTGCGAGTTGTTGGCCGTGGTATTCGAGACGCAATCTAGCAAACTCCAACAACCAACTTGCAGCACTCATCGTGTACCGGTTTCGGCAACCTTAACACGAAATCTGTCAATCTGCCGTATAATCATTTGAAATCTGCCATACTACTGTTCACATTTCCTACCTAGAGAAACCTTTTCCTCGTGCCTTTTGTTGACCATCAGCTTTGCGTTATCCCAATCTTGGCACTGAGGAATATTTGATTATGAGTTAGACAAATAACTCGAGCTTTCTGAGTACTGTCTCGCTGCTCTTCATTTTAATGTTTCTTCGTTCTCCAGTAGATACGATTCACCATTTTTATGCGGTTTTAAAGGGTTTAAGAACACTTCAATATCCACTAATCAATTTGTGGTTTTATCTGACGCGCCAGATTTGTACGACGTTTTTATTGATATCGTTTGGGGGACAGAAAAGCCTACTCAAACAGTCAGCCATTTCAGCAACGACCGACAATGATGAGTGTTCAGGCAAGCCAACAATGATTTGTGTTCCAGCATGTCATAGAACCAATGACTGACAATGATGAGTGTTCGCCCAACGCCCATAGGACAGCCTGAATCAAGGTCAAAAATGCGCCTTAAATACCGGTGCGATATTCCTTTTAATTTTTGCACTCGCTCGTCCGTAAGCAAGCCGTTATGTTCCGTGTATGTGAGTCTTTTTCTGTTGCTGGAGTGGGGACTTATGTTGCACAATCACAAACCTAAGCGTTTCGACGCTATCCAACTGCATTACCCCTCTTCGACAACGTTTTTGTCTGTTGATTAGTCACACTAGGCTTAAAGAATGTCACTCTCAGTATTAGTTGTTCACACAATCATTGGACACGCACCACATGGTTCAAGTTTGACATGTTTCACTACAGTGCATCGGAACAATCCACCATCTTCGCGGAAGAAAGTGCGCAGAACGACCTGGCGCTGACGCTGACAATAGTTACACGGCCCCGGTTCGCGAACCAATCCCATGGGACATTCTGAAATAGGAAAGAAAACAAAGAAATCATCGCGAAATTAATCTATGAATTTGCAGATGACAAAGCTATGAACTGTATGAGTATGGGATACGTCTGAGCACAAAATATTCCTGGCCTAAAGTGATCCGCGGTTTTTCGGCAAACGCAAGCGAAACTCCAAGACAACCGATTTTTAGGTAATCTGTTCAGAACGGAGAAATTCATGCAATCTGTACTAGGCTCTTACCTGAGAAGCAGTCACCTGAAGATCATGTGACGTGACCTGTATGAGTAAGTCGCACTGTTGATAAACTAGGTAGGAAAACCCCCAGCCGAAAAGTTACACGTTCTATTCACTCTGAAAACTCGTGAGATGGTCACTACTAAAAATTCAACCTCCCGTCTGCCGTATCACATGATGGATTATACCCGCGGCGATGGCAAACTAAACAGGACAAGGCTTAAAGACGTTTAGGTTGTCTGCTGTCGGGAGAGGGCTGAACAGGTGGTTCTCTGGTGTGTTTTTTAAAGTAAAATGACTTATAGTTACTCCCTCACGTCACTCAAGCTCTATGTCCTGTATAAGTGAGCGCTAACCACACTGCTGTCGGTGGTGGCTTAAGGGTCAAGTTTTCAACCACCGGAAGGCTGCGGGATCGAAACTCTCTGAGTTTCGTGAGATGCGCGCTACCGATGATTCCCAATTAGGATGAAACAGCTGTACAGTGCTTCTCGGTTTTTCAGCACAGATTTTTTTCAATTGTAGAACGAAACCTCTGCTGAAAATGATAGCAGTCGGTTAATACAAGAGGCATAAGAAGCCCTTAGTGAACATGCCTCTGAAAAAACGGCGGGGGTCCAATTTTCATATCCATGCCATTTGTTGTGTCTCGTATGAACGGGAGTGCAACTCTGTATCGGTCCCTTGGCTTCCTGATCCGCCCACTATGGTATATCAAAAGGCACGGTAGCTCTACACAACCCATTATGGAGACAAAAGAAAATTATTACAACTGTATTTATGAGGTAGTCACAGAGTGTTCCACAAGGTCGTGCCGGAATCTCCGTGAGGGGGCGAGAAGCGTCGAGTCAAGGGTGCTTGACTCGGATTGGCTGGCATTCTGACCAATCAGGGCATGCCTTCGTTTGGCCCGTGTCCTGCACGTGACACATCCGTCCAAATGATGTGGTGTTCCGTTAGTAGGGACGGCTGACTTCCGTACAGGGAGCCTCATTTATATATAACATACTAGAGAATTTCTTACAAACTTAGATACTCATCCGAAAGGGGAGCAGAACCCGGACATTGCTTGTTCTCGCTCTCCCGACATAAAAATTTCACTGGGTGAGCTTGATCACGTCTCCAGAGTTTGCAACCATTTCCACCTTCAGTCAAACCTGGTTAACGGCTTTAAAAACTACGACTAATACCCAAATATGGTCAACTTAGAAATTCAAGACGAGGTTTCCCCCGCTTTAAGTAGAAAACACATACCTCCGCATGGTTGGAACTGTTTGGTGACCAGTGGTTTACACTGCCCATCTCTTTGCAACCGAAAGCATGTCTGTGTTATTTCGATGTTTCTTGTTTCTGGATTGCACTCTCCCTTGTCAATCCGGCATGGTGGGCATCCTGAAAATAATAGTGGCAGGAATACCAATAAAATGATAATTCCATCTCTCGTAGACCAACGTAAGACACGTTGCGAATATACCATACAATAAAGGATGATGTAAATGTTTCCTCTTGGTTCTAGTTTACCCCTACTTGAAAGCTAGACTGAACAAAGCGAGCGAAAGAATCGTGCGGAAGCTCCGAGAGCAGTGTCCCCACTGAAAGTATGGGACCCAGGCTGTTGCACAACTGACTACAGCTGATACACTCAGCTGGATACTGAAACAAATATCCACGGGACTCTGGAGTATACTTTCAACCACTCCTCAAACAGCTGTTGGAAGCGGTATTGCGCCTTCACTTTGGTTCAGGCCTAACTGACTACTTGCGCCACCTGATTAACTTACCTGTTCGTTTGTTAGACCATACGCTTGACCACAGACAACCAATTTATTGTTACCTTTTCGTCCCTTCTACATGTACACGAATGCATGACAACCATCTTTAGCAACCAGATTTGAAGAAAAAAACCAATGACAGAGACACTTGAAA